CCTCATCAACCTCGTCAACCGTCGCCGTCAACCGTCGTCGACAACCTATGGCCGTTCCCTTAGCAGTAATTATACGTGTTTAGTATACGCCGCTTCCTTTCTACATTTGCGTCGTAACCGTTGTAACGTATTTGAACCTCGTTAATAACATCACCTGATGAGTTGGTAGTCCATCCTATGTAGACTATTGCAGGCTCACTGTAGAAGCCTCACTTTCTCATCCTTATTTCGCTGATTACGTGGATGCTAGCGACGAACCAGTGGCCACTTGTTCTTTTGACTTGAACGATGATCCCAGTAGGTCCAAAGATGAGTGGAAAGGTGGGAAACTCAGCTGTACCTTCCATCTGTATGCGCATACATGCTTCAGGTATCATCTGGCAGGAGATTCAGAACTTCGTCGGTGATGAGGCTTCTCCGAAAATCCCGTCGCAAAATTGATTACTTGTGCTTGTTTTTATTTTCAGCAACTACTAGGCTGTCTTTGAATGTGGTCTGAAGACTGCTCTTTATTGCGTTACGCAATTCCTTCCAGGATTCAAAATCCGTTTTATGTTCAGATGCTACCATTAGAGATAGTTTCCAGGCAAAACTGATTCTCTCATGTAAGCGGTAACACAGGGTAACAGGTTTGTCAAGCTGGAGAGCAAAATGTGTTGCTTTGGATTCATAGTTTTCTCAAACAAAACTCTTACTTCTGAGTTATTGAAAGAGGAGTGCCTCTAACCCACCAGCTTGCACTAGGGTCTGTGTCGCTGTTTGTACGTATGGTTTTTTTTATTCTGTATTCAGCCAAATGAAGCACGTGGGGTGAAGTTCAATAGAATCAGATTGACTTGAGGTACTCAAATCTGCCCGAAACTATCTCAGCTCTTTATTGAACAGACTAAAGTTCACTTCACGATATTCTTTTAGAATAGGCTGTAGCCAGATGGACACGATAGAGACATTAGAAAATTAAAGCGTGTCAAGATACGGTGAATTCTCGGTGATATAACATCATACATTCGGTCATGCATCTTCATTGTGTTGCTCACATTCACTTTGTAGTAGATATTGATATTTTTGATAAATGATTGTCACATATTCGACTTTTTACTTGACAGGTCTGATCCTGCTTTACTTTAACTTTGTAGATATTTGAATACAGTATGATGCGCTCCCAGATTGATTCTTGCTGGAACTGAAACTTGAAAAAGTGGAAAAGTGGCGTTTTTATAGCCGTGAGAAATCAAAAACCAGCGCTTCTTAGTGGAACTGATTATCACTGCACTCTCGGTCGAAAGTCTTAGAGGGAATACAGACTTCTGGTATTGCTAGGTAGTTTGGCAAAAGTGCTAATGTAAAGCTCCTCTCAGCTTCACTTGATGAGGATGGGTTTTTCAGCCATGTATGAATCATTTGCGCTGCCATTTGGTCACTTTAGCCGGAACCCCCTCATCAGTTTTCACGCAAAAAAAAACTCATGCGCCCAGATTTGCCTGTACACTGTCTTATGCAGTGTCTCCGGTCGTGGAAGGAAGAGTTCATACTGTTGCAGGTGGAGTTTGGAGGATGGTGAGGTTTGCCTGGCATCAGCAGGTTCTTCCATGTGCTGCTATGTTGTTGGAGTTTCTGCAGTCTGATGTGCTCTTCTTATAAGAGGTTGGCAATGACATCTGCTGAACCAGGGGTATTTTTCGCCAACTTCGGACCGCCACCTCCTGAACGTCCACCTCCGGAAGGGTTTCATGAGGTGGGTCACGTTTGCACTTGCTCTTCACGACTCCCTCATTCAGTGTTATAGGTCGAACTAAACAGAACGAGATGGGTAATTCCAAATATCTACGACGACCTCAAAACTTTGGGAGAAGGCGCGTATGGAGTGGTTTGGTAAGTCGAGTCTATCTACCATTCATTATTGCGACTATAGCTTCTTTCCGTTCGTAGGTTTAGCAAGCCGTTACGGAGGCGCAATGCGTTTCCAATCAACTAGTTCTTTTATCAATCAAATTCCTGCTTTGTGTGGGCTTTTGAGGCAGAACGGTTTTTTGGTTTCGGAGTTTTTATCATTGTTTGCGCTTGTGGATGTATCAAGACGAATTTTGCTATTTCGTGATGTGTGCTACACATTTAAATTGTGTAAGAAACGTCAGGGATTGCTCGAAAGGAGGACATATCCAATGCGGGAAGAAGGGGGGGGGGAGAGAGAGAGACGGCCGCGTTGTCTGTGAGTTATTCAAAGAAGCTACGAGACGGCTTTACAGTATCCCGCTCGTATGATAATACTTGGAGGGTTAGGAGCGTCATTTTATCAACTGTGAAGGCATTTCCCTTGACGCGTTCAGTGATAATCTTCGTTTATGCCATAAGAAAACGCCGAGGAACTTTTGAACATCTCCAGAAGTTTCAACACAGAGCCTTTGACTTAACGCTCCAGGAAAGTACAAAAATGATAAGAATTTGAAGCAGCCAAACCTGCCGAGATAGTGGGTATCCGCTCACCAGTGCAGCATGCCCTTACCATATTAGGCATCCGCCTTCGTGCGGGACACGAATCTGTGAATTTTTTATCAGTTGTGAGGAAAAGATACGTTTTGATTCGATTCGATGTTGCTGTCTAAAGATATTGCAACATGCAGCACTGCCGAAGATCTGCGGACGGGAGAAAGAGTGGCAGTGAAGAAGTTTGGTCGCCCGTTCCAGAGCACTATACATGCCAAGAGGACTTACAGGTATGTTTTCTTTTGACTCGTCTGTAGTAGTATCTGCATTCTCTTGCTTTTAGAGAGCTGAAGCTCCTGCGTACTTTGAAACATCCAAATGTATTAGACATGCTGGATGTGTTTACTCCAGATCCTGACGTAACTTTGTTAAATAATGTGTAAGTTGTAGGTTTCCAGAGTTTTTTTTGGTTCCATTTTCATTCCATCCACTGGTCAGATATTTTGTCTCGGTGTTTGTGGGATCGGATCTGCAACA